GCCCTAGAATAATCTTTTTGAGAGCAGGAAAAGAGAGCATTTTCTGTGTGACAGTTGATACCAGGATACTTTGAGAAAGGTATTGATGTTAGGAGATGAGGACAGAAAAGCAAAGAACAGCAAGGGGAGGAGCTGGGGGGAGAGCAAGGGAAGGGGGTGGAAATATTTTTCATTTCTCCTAGATGCCCTTAAATGGATTGGGAAAAGCCTCAAAGATGCTCTGTCAAGTACCACTTTTGGAATACAACCCATCAGGAAGAACAAGGGGAATCTTTCTTCCAGTTTTCCACCAACTGTTTTCCTGGGTGCGCAGCCTCGAGGCCCGCAGGAGGAACACCAAGTGCTGAAGCGCTGCTTTTAATGGCGGTTAGCTGAGCCTTCCTCCTGTCCAAATTTTTCCCGAGCAGAGAGGCAGGCACTGGGGGAATGAGTTAACGTCTCCTTCTTAGAAGCCTCTGCTGGGGCCCCTACTGAATAGCAGCCTGAGGATGTAAACTATTTAGAGAGAGTGTCCCGGACACGAGAAACTTCTGTCTGAACATGCCTGCGGCAGTTACAGTGACGCATGAATGACGTACGAATGTCAGGGAGTCAGGACATGAACACCTCCTGCCTCCGGGAGCTGCCCACTGGTTTTCAGCCTAACACATACAGCCTTAGTTGCCATCGCAGGAGAGCAATTCTTCACCGAGGACCATACACTACCTGTTAGCACCTTTAATCCTCCCAACAGTCCTGTGAGGTGCATTTACTATCATTCTCACTTTACCTTTGAGGAGTCTGAGGCTCAGAGACACTGAGTAACCTCTTCAAGGTCACACAGTTAGTCTGTGAAGAAGGATTCAAACCCAGAGCTGTCTCACTTGCAGGTAGATGTTATTCCATCTCCCTCCATTGCCCTGTTGTAGTCTGTCCTTCCTACATGCTTGGGTGGAGCACAACTGGCTTTCTTTGCACAGCTCTTGACAACACTCAAGAGGGAAAAAAAGGTGTAGAAAACAAAAGGGTGGGGCTGTGACCGTGCCAGTCATCCTGGCGCGGTGTTTATATGGTGCTGGTTGCTGTATAAACAATGAGTAGTCAAGATATGGGTCAGCCCTCTCCCTCCTGTTAAAAATCTAGAAGAGGAGGATTTATGTTTGCTAGATTCTAGAATTTGCTCAATGTATTAGTCAGGGTTCTCCAGAGAGACAGACTCAGTAGGAGACAGATATAGGTATATGAGGGGTGATTTATAGGGAGACTGTTCATGTGATTGCAGAGGCTGAGAAGTCCCACAACAGGCTGTCTGCAAGCCAGAGATCCTGGGATGCTGGTGGCGTGGTTCAGTCCACGCCCGAAGGCCTCAGAACCAGGGAAGCCAATGGTGTAACTCTCAGTCTAAGGCCAAAGGCCCGAGAACCCGGGAAGCCACTGGTATAAGTCCTAGAGTCCAAGAGGGGCCTGGATTATTGTCCAAGGACAGGAGAGAAAGAGTGTATCCCAGTTCCAGCATATAGAGTGATACATTCTCCTTTTCTCTGTTTCTGTTCTCTCCAGGACCCCAACAGATGGGATGGTGCCTGCCCACACGGAGGGTGGATCTTCCTTACCTAGTCCACACAGACATACATGCTAATAATCTCCTCTGGAAACACGCTCACAGACACACCCCAAATTACCAGGTTTCTAGGTATTCCTTAATCCAGTCCAGCTGACACTTAAAATAAACCATCACACTCAATGTCTTTGTCAGTTCAGTCTGCTGTAACAGAATACCATAGATTGAGTCACTTTAAAAAACATTCTCACAGTTCTGGAGGCTGGGAAGTTCAAGATGAAGGCACTGGTAAATTTGGTGTCTGGTGAAGGCCCGTTTCCTGGTTCATAAATGACCTTCCTCTCGCTGTGTCCTCACATGGTGGGAAGAGGGCTAGAGAGCTCTCAGGGGTCCTTTTCATATGAACACGAATCTCATTCTTCAGGGCTCCACCCTCACGACTTAATTACCTCCCAAAGGCACCACCTCCTAACACCATTACATTGGGGGTTAGAATTTTAACATATGAATTTTGTGGGGATACAAACATTTAGTCCTTAATATTTAGTATTTTTTTTTTTTTTTTTTGAGAGAGAGTCTCACTCTTTTTGCCCGAGCTAGAGTGCCGTGGTGTCAGCCTAGCTCACAGCAACCTCAAACTCCTGGGCTTAAGCGATCCTCCTGCCTCAGCCTCCCGGGTAGCTGGGACTACAGGCACGCGCCACCATGCCCAGCTAATTTTTTCTATATATTTTTAGTTGTCCAATTAATTTCTTTCTATTTTTGGTAGAGGTGGGGTCTTGCTCTTGCTCAGGCTGGTCTCAAACTCCTGAGCTCAAACGATCCACCCTCTTCGGCCTCCCATAGTGCTAGGATTACAGGCATGAGCCACCGCGCTCGGCCAATATTTAGTATTTTTTAAAAAGGTATAATTAGAAAAAAGCTTCCTCTACCCCTGTGAACAAAACCAACCAAACCATTCGGACTTAATGCTCAGAAACTCTCTGTTCTTTAGCATTAATCTAAGAAAAAAAAGGAAAGGATTCATTCCTTGGAAAAACCTTGAATTTACACTTTTGGAAGCTATGATTTCAAGTACTGAAAAGGCAGAGTGAAACCATGACATACCATGCGGAAGAGAAGACAACTACCCTCAAATTCTCCCCTGAGAAAAGCGCTTGTTCAAACGGTCTGGAACTCCCAAACACCAGCTGGCTAACTCTCCCCAC